TGAAGGGCCCCAGGGTGACGTTGAGGACGGGCAGCTCCTTGGTCTGGAAGACGACGAAGGGCTCGGAGCGCTGCAGAGGGGCGCTGCCGTTGCCCGCCGGGCTGGCTCCCAGCTCCTTGAGGAAGAAGGCCAGGCGGGTGTTGGACAGGCGGTAGCTCACGGGCAGCAGGATGGCACCAGGGGGCTCGGCGGGCTCGGGGCTGGGGGCCGGGCCCTTGGCGTGGGCTGCAGAGGAGATGGAAAGCGCAGTTAGCGTTGGGCATCCCCCTCTGGAACAGCTCCTGAGCAGGGAACACTGATCCAGGCAAGAGTGGAACAAAAGAGGAGTTTCAGCCCCCAAACCTCTGAGAAGAGCAGCAAGAGCCTGGCTGGGTTTCTGTCCCACAAACCAAAAATGCAGAAGATCCCAGGACCTCGAGCAGGATTGTGCGGCAGCAGCCTCACCAAAGCCACCCTCGGCATGGGATGGGGTGTCCAGGGCATGCTGAAACCACATCCAGCCTCGTGTTGTCCCTGGGGAGCCCAAAGCGCTGGTCACCCACCCCAGCACTGCCTGAACCAGCACAAACCTGGGGCTTCATCCCAGCTTCATCCCAACTTCATCCCAGCTTCGTCCCAACTGCATCCCAGCTTCATCCCAGCTTCATCCCAACTGCATCCCAGCTTCATCCCAGATTCATCCCAGCTTCATCCCAACTGCATCCTAGCTGCATCCCAACTTTATCCCAGCTTCATCCCAACTTCAGCTTCATCCCAACTTCATCCCAGCTTCATCCCAACTTCAACCCTGCTTCATCCCAACTTCATCCCAGCTTCATCCCAGCTTCAGCTTCATCCCAGCTTCATCCCAACTTCATCCCAGCTTCATCCCAACTTCAGCTTCATCCCACTTCATCCCAACTTCAACCCTGCTTCCTCCCAGCTTCATCCCAGCTTCATTCCACCTTCATCCCTGCTTCCCAAGGCATGGATGCTGAGTTTCTCCAGAGGCTCATGACCAAAAGTTACATCCAGGTTAATCTTTGGCTGGCAGATCCCACCACGTATTTATTATTATTTATTATTTATTATTTATTATTTATTATTTATTATTTATTATTTATTATTTATTATTTGTTTATTGTTTATTGTTTATTGTTTATTGTTTATTGTTTATTATTTGATTTTTTATATTTTTATTTGTTATTTGTTATTTATTGTTTATTATTATTTGTTATTTATTGTTTATTGTTTAATATTTATTGTTTATTATCATCAAGGCTTTCCTTCTTCTTCCAGCTCCCAGATCACCCAGGGCAGGTGGCTAAATCAGCCCCCAGACCTGCTCTGTCCCCACACCTGCCTTAAGGGTGGTGTCACAGCCGCTCTGTCACCTGTCACCTGTCACCCAGGGCTGTCACCCACACTGTGCTGTCCCCACGTGGTAAAGCTGGCCCAGACCAAATTTTTCCAGACCTGATGGAAAGGTGATGTTGGTGCCACCTTGTGCAAACCCCAGCAACGCCCAGGATCCCTCAGAAATCCCCATTTGTCCTTAATTTTGATCATTTTTTGCCTTTAAAGAATAACTCCAGGACTGGCAGAGCAGGGAGCCCCTGCCAGCCGCGGGGCAGAGCTGCCCGAGCCCCTCGGAAGGATCCGGTGGTGAGCAGAGGGAAAACCCATGGAAACCTCCCTGGGAAAGGCGGCGCCCGGCACGCGTTGTGCTGGCAGCTGAGGGAGCCTGGAAGGCATCTCAAGGTCTTTGCCTTCTCCAGGAATTCCCAGCTGGATCCCCCCCGCTCCCCTCGGCTCCTCGCATCCCCGCTCCCGGCGCTGATTGCAGCCGCTCCCAAGCGGCTCCCGAGCAGCGGAGCCCAAATTGCCGGTGTCAAACAGCGGGGAAAGGTGTGGATGTGACGGCTCCGCTCCCAGGAATGACTCAGCCCCCCTTCCCTTTGGGGCTTCGGAGCGTGCCAGGACCAGGAGGCTTTTTCCAGCCCTGGAAGTGGCCCCAGCCACTTTCCCCGGGGCTCAAGGGATGCAGGACCCCCCGGCCCAGCCGGCGAGCTGTGCTGAGGGGCACAGGGGAGTTAAACACTTTAGAGGGCTCCTAAAAGGATCAGCGCTGGATACGGGACAGGCAGAGTCCACATCCCGGGATGGAAACTGCCCCGGAGCCAGGCAGAGAATTCCCCGGGGCTGTGGGAATGCTGCCCCCGTGGCCAGCTCCAGCCCCTGCCACCCCATCCCGCTCGCTCTGCCTGATTTCCCATCTCCCAGAGGTCCTGGAGCTGCTAAACCCTGGCCAGCACCCTTGGGTGCCCCTCTGCTCAGCACCGAGGGGTGCTCACTGCTCCTGTGAGTCATGGAAGTTGTTTTCTGCTGTGAAAGGTGAAGGTTTGCATCCTCCTGCCATCCCCAGCGAATGGAAAAGGGGATTTTTTTCCCAAGGCATGAGATTATTTGAGGAAAAGGATCCAGCAGCTGGAGGGACATGGGCTGGACCCGCCTGGCCGAGGTACAGGGGCCTTGCTCAACCCACTCGCTGAAACAGCATCAGACCTGATCCCTCCAAAATCTCCGGGCTTCGGAGCAGGACCAGGACATTTCACAGGGAAAACCCACCCAAAACCCACCCAGCTCAATGCCCAGCACAGCCCCAAGCAAAATCCATCCTTGAGGTGCTGCAAAATTTCTGGTGTCACCCTTGAGAGGGGAAGCGGAAGGAAGGAGAGGAAAGGAGAGGAAAGGAGAGGAAAGGAAAGGAAAGGAAAGGAAAGGAAAGGAAAGGAAAGGAAAGGAAAGGAAAGGAAAGGAAAGGAAAGGAA